TCTTTTTTCTTTCTTTCTTTCTTTCTTTCTTTCTTTCTTTCTTATTCCACCGGAATTTGTTTATTTCTTCCTTTCTTACTCCAAGAGACTTTCTTTCTCTCTTTTTTTATTTATTTTTTATTCCAACAGACTGTTTATTTCTTCCTTTCTTATTCCAAGAAACTTTCTTTCTTTCTTTCTTTCTTTCTTTCTTTCTTTCTTTCTTTCTTTCTTTCTGATTCGACACAAATGGCTAAGATAACAGAAAACAAGTTCAGATAATACGACAAAATAGGAAGTGGCCTGCAACAAGGACTAGTTTTATTAGCGGATGTATTCAACCTGTACAGCGGAACGATACAAAAAGAGTGATTAGGTCGAATGATAAATAATTTCCTTTGTTGTTTATCATCTTTGTTCTTCGAAAAATAAAGTCAGATTACATTTTATTAATTTACTAGTAGTATAACCCACCTTCGCCCGGGCGTTTCATTACTGGGAAGTTTTGCCGTTCAGCTGCAGCAGTTTAAGTTTAAAGTCAGCCTACCTGAAAATCAATATTAGTAACAACAATCGGGTACAACTGAGGCACATCCCCAAATGTTGGGGAGGGGATAACAATTTGAATAGAGGGTAGCCATGAAAAGGGCCGTTTTTGCGTTCTCAATCTTGCAAGGAAGGAACCTCTTCTATGGACCGTCATAATAATGATATACGATAAATTTATATTTATCATATAATTTTTTTATAATTCTAATAATCTTTTGCGTTAGATTTCAACTCTCTAAATTGATTGCAAGCTGTTTTTTTCACAGATGTTAAATTTTAGCCTTTGATTTTTTTTGCGCAATGTGTACAAAATATATTGTTCTTTTTTTTTTCTTTTTTTTTTTTTCGATTATTCACCTTCAATGTTGTAATTTTTTTCCAAACAATTTGGAATCAAAACCGGCACTGAAGAATTATCTATCAAACAAAAAAAAAATTAATCGAAACTGAAAGAAAACTGTAGAAACGCATAAACAACATCCGGTAACACACACATATACATACACACATTTTGAGAATTATAGATATAGATATTATTGTAATAATTTAAACTATTTATTTTTATTAAAGTTTTTATGAAAGATATATATCCAAGAACATATAGTAAATAGAAAAAACGTTGTTGAGAGTTATAATGGACAGGAAGTAGTGGAGAGCCATTCTCGCCAACAATTTGGACTCAAAACCGGCACTGAAGAAAGATATATCAAACAAATAAAATTTCACCGAAATCAGATGAATACTGCAAAAACGAATAAACAACATCCGATCACACATACATATACATACACATATTTTGAGAATTATAGATATATAGATATTATTTGCAATGGCTTGTTGTCGCTGAACAGGCGATATGTTTTAGAGTAAAACGCGACAGGTTTGGATATTAAAAAAAGGTTTTGACGAACTCTTAAACATCTCCCTAGCTATAGGTTAAAGTGCATGATCTGTATCTGGAAAATCAGTTTTATTCTAGAAAAAAACTGTTAATGCAATATTCACTCGTATGGTCTTAAAATTCAAAATATGTCCCGAATTTGTTTAAATTCAGGACATAAAGGTTTGGAAAATAAAAGAAATAAAGGCTTCAGGATATAAAGGTTTCAGGACATAAAGGTTTCGGGACATAAAGGAGAGAAAGGTTTCGGGACATAAAGTTTTCCGGATATAAACGTTCCAGGACATAAAATTTTCGGGACAGAAAGGTTTCAGGACATAAAGTTTTAAGGACATAAATGTTTCAGGACATAAAGGTTTCGGGACATAAATCACAGAAAGGTTTCAGGACATAAAGGTTTCGGGACATAAAGGACAGAAAGGTTTCGGGACATAAAGTTTTCAGGACATAAATGTTTCAGGACATAAAGGTTTCGGGACATAAAGGACAGAAAGGTTTTAGGACATAAAGGTTTCGGGACAGAAACTTTTCGGGACAGAAACTTTTCAGGACATAAATGTTTCAGGACATAAAGGTTTCGGGACATAAAGGCCAGAAAGGTTTCGGGACATAAAGGCCAGAAAGGTTTCGGGACATAAAGTTTTCAGGACATAAAGGTTTCGGGACATAAAGTTTTCAGGACTAAAGGTTTCGGGACATAAAGGACAGAAAGGTTTCAGGACATAAAGGTTTCGGGACATAAAGGACAGAAAGGTTTCAGGACATAAAGGTTTCGGGACATAAAGGACAGAAAGGTTTCAGGACATAAAGGTTTCAGGACATAAAGGACAGAAATATTTCAGGAAATAAAGGTTTCAGGACATAAAGGTTTCGGGACATAAAGGACAGAAATATTTCAGGAGATAAATGTTTCAGCACATAAAATGAATAAAGGTTTCGGAACATAAAGGTTTCAGGACATAAAGGACAGAAATATTTCAGGACATAAAGGTTTCGGGACATAAAGGTTTCGCGACATAAAAGACAGAAAGGTTTCGGGACATAAAGTTTTCAGGGCATAAAGGTTTCAGGACATAAAGTACAGAAAGGTTTCAGGACATAAAAGTTTCGGGGCATAAAGGACAGAAAGGTTTCAGGACATAAATGTTTCAGGACATAAAGGTTCCGCGACATAAAGTACAGAAAGGTTTCAGGACATAAAGGTTTCACGACATAAAGGACAGAAAGTTTTCAAAACATAAAGGTTTCGGGACATAAAGGACAGAAAGGTTTCGGGTCATAAAGTTTTCAGGACATAAATGCTTCAGGACATAAAGTTTTCGGGACATAAGGGACAGAAAGGTTTCAGGACATAAAGGTTTCGGGACATAAAGGACAGAAATATTTCAGGAGAAAAATGTTTCAGGACATAAAGGAAATAAAGGTTTCGGCACATAAAGTACAGAAAGGTTTTAGGACATAAAGGTTTCAGAACAGAAAGGTTTCGGGACATAAAGTTTTCAGGACATAAATGCTTCAGGACATAAAGGTTTCGGGACATAAATGACAGAAAGGTTTCTGCACATAAAGGTTTCGGGACATAAAGGACAGAACGGTTTCAGGACATAAAGTTTTCAGGACATAAAGGACAGAAATATTTCAGGACATAAAGTTTTCAGGACATAAATGTTTCAGGACATAAAGGTTTCGCGACATAAAGTACAGAAAGGTTTCAGGACATAAAGGTTTCAGGAAATAAAGGACAGAAAGGTTTCATGACATAAAGGTTTCGGGACATAAAGGACAGAACGGTTTCGGGACATAAAGTTTTCCGGACATAAATATTTCAGGACATAAAGGAAATAAAGGTTCCGGGACATAAAGTACAGAAAGGTTTCAGGACATAAAGGTTTCAGGAAATAAAGGACAGAAAGGTTTCAGGACATAAAGGTTTCGGGACATAAAGGACAGAACGGTTTCGGGACATAAAGTTTTCCGGACATAAATATTTCAGGACATAAAGGAAATAAAGTTTCGGGACATAAAGGACAGAAAGGTTTTAGGACATAAAGGTTTCGGGACAGAAACTTTTCGGGACAGAAACTTTTCAGGACATAAATGTTTCAGGACATAAAGGTTTCGGGACATAAAGGACAGAAAGGTTTCAGGACATAAAGGGTTCGGGACATTTAGGACAGAAAGGTTTCAGGACATAAAGGACAGAAATACTTCAGGACATACAGGTTTCAGGACATAAAGGTTTCGGGACATAAAGGACAGAAATATTTCAGGAGATAAATGTTTCAGGACATAAAGGAAATAAAGGTTTCGGGACATAAAGGACAGAAAGGTTTTAGGACATAAAGTTTTCAGGACATAAATGTTTCAGGACATATGTTTCAGGACATAAAGGAAATAAAGGTTTCGGGACATAAAGGACAGAAAGGTTTTAGGACATAAAGTTTTCAGGACATAAATGTTTCAGGACATAAAGGTTTCGGGACATAAAAGACCAAGGTTTCTGCACATAAATGTTTCGGGACATAAAGGACAGAAAGGTTTCAGGACATAAAGGTTTCAGGACATAAAGGACAGAAATATTTCAGGACATAAAGGTTTCGGAACATAAAGGTTTCGGGACATAAAAGACAGAAAGGTTTCGGAACATAAAGTTTTCAGTGCATAAAGGTTTCAGGACTTAAAGGTTTCGGGACATAAAGTAAAGAAAGCTTTCAGGGCATAAAGGTTTCGGGGCATAAATGTTTCGGGACATAAAGGTTTAGCGACATGAAGTACATACAAATTTCAGGACAGAAAGGTTTCAGGACATAAAGGACAGAAAGGTTTCAGGACATAAAGGGTTCGGGGCATAAAGAACAGAAAGGTTTCAGGACATAAAGTTTTCGGGACATAAATGTTTCAGGACATAAAGGTTTCGCGACATAAAGTACAGAAAGGTTTCAGGGCATAAAGGTTTCAGAATATAAAGGACAGAAAGGTTTCAGGACATAAAGACAGAAAGGTTTCAGGACATAAAGGTTTCAGGACATAAATGTTTCAGGACATAACGGTTTCGGGACATAAATTTACAGAAAGGTTTCAGGACATAAAAGTTTCGGGACATAAAGGACAGAAACGTTTCGGGACATAAATGTTTCGGGACAGAAAGTTTTCGGGACATAAAGTTTTCAGGACATAAAGGTTTCAGGACATAAAGGACATAAAGGTTTCGGGACATAATGTACAGAAAGTTTTCAGGACATAAATGTTTCGGGACATAAAGTTTTCGGGACATAAAGTACCGAAAGGTTTCAGGACATAAATGTTTCAGGACATAAATTTTTCAGGGACATAAATGTTTCAGGACATAAAGGTTTCGGGACATAAAGTTTTCAGGATATTAAGGTTTCAGGACAGAAAGGTTTCGGGACATAAAGGACACAAATATTTCGCGACATAAAAGACATAAGGTTTTCGGGACATAAAGGACACAAAAGTTCGGATAAACATCAAAAAACAATGGTCAATCCAATCCCAATAGATACAAAACATAATCTTTGGAAGCACACCAGTTTTTGGAATGATTTTACAGTAGTTCCCATACGATCACCGAAGTTAAGCAACGTCGAGCTTGGTCAGTACCTAGATGGGTGACCAATAGGGAATACCAGGTGATGTAAGTTTAACTATGCCGGTAGTCTAATAGATCATGACTCGTAATTGTTAGTCAGAAAACCGAGTTCCAATTCCATTTGGACTCATTATATTCACCCTCTGAGAAAGAAATGAATCAATCTCTTCTCCTCCCAACTATGGGTTAATAAGTAAGACTTGTGACATTATATTATTGTTATCTCCCGAATAGATAAAATAAAACTGCGTACGATATATTCGGGTTTCAGCATTAAATAACGCATAGAATTGTTGATATGCCGCTAAACAAAAACATCAACCAACATATCACTAGCTAATGAATAAGATTTGTTAATTTGAAATTTCTCACAGGATCAAATACCTTTTTGGGAAAGGTATCAATACACATCTTGTCTTCCCAGCTTTGTGTTAATTAGTGAAAGTTATTTCACAAAATCATTTTTTTAGAATGTTTACTATCTAAAAATATTTTCTGACTTTAAATAACCTGCAACGGGTTAAGAAGCTGTAAAATATAAATGAATGAATCAATCAAATTGGAATGATTAAGGGTGACCTATTTTGTTTCTCTAGGAACCAGCTTCACTCAACATTGTTGTAAACAATCCATTTTTCATCGCTGTGATCGTTCTTTTTAATAATACTGTTTAATTAAAACATGTCATTTACTCAAATAAGTTATATCCATAAAAACAGAAAATATATTACAATAATTGTCGGATTTAATCCATTACATACATATACACACACGCACACACACACCCACACACCCACACACACACACACACACACACACATATATATATATATATATATGTGTGTGTGTGTGTGTGTGTGTGTGTATTGACATCTTAATGGCTTAAGTAAGCCGAAAGCTTGGATTGTATTAAAAAATATAAAACACTTGTCTATATTATTTAATTTAATATATATATATATATATATATATATATATATATATATATATATATATATATATATATATATATGAATTGGGCTCAAATATGGTTCGGAATCCGACAGAATTAAAGAATAAATAAGAAACGTTAATAAATCAAAAACTTATAACCCAAACTTTCTACTATTCGATCCACTATTGATTTAAATAAATTATATCGAATATTTAAAGATACTTTTCTTTTTAACCCCAACAATTACGACCAGTTGGATTAGGTGTAAATGATTATAAAAGCAAGCCTGAGAGAGGAGAAGCAGTCATACACTAGGAATTGTGCAAGCAAAAAATAATAAGATCAAAACGAGTTTTCATAAGTCTGGAATTTTGAGTTCCATGCACATGATTATATCCAAGCAAAGAAAGCGAATTCAGTTTTATGGAGAAGAAAACAAGCGTTTCTCTCAAGTCAAATAAGAAAGAAAGAAAGAAAGAAAGAAAGAAAGAAAGAATGAAAAAGGAAATAATTTTTCAGTGAAAGAAACGAAAAGGAGAGTGAGAAGAACCATTCAATTAAAGAAAAAAGAAGTGAGGGTGAATTCCGTGAAAGATATAAACGAACAAAAACGAAAAACAGTTTTTAAAAAAATCAAAGATTATCAAAAGAAAAGACAAAGAGAATGTATTTAGTCAAAGAAAGAAAGAAAGAAAGAGAGGGAGAAGTATTCAGTGTAAGATAGAAAAAGGAACGAACGAAAGAAAGAAAGAAAGAAAGAAAGAAAGAAAGAAAGAAAGAAAGAAAATCCAATGACTTGACAGAGAAAAAATATTGAAAAAAAGATTTAGAAAGGAATCAATACGAGAAAAATAAACAAAAACAATATGGTGAATGAAAGAATCGAGAAAGTAAATGTGAAATATTGAAAAAAAAACAAAGATAGAAATGAAAGAAACAAAGAAAGAAATTAAATAAACGAAGATAGAATTGAAAGAAACAAAGAAAAATTTAATGAAACGAAGGAAGAAGTGAATGAAACAAGGAAAGAAATGAAAGAAACAAAGATAGAAATGAAAGAAACAATGGAAGAAACGAAAGAAACAAAGAAAGAAATGAATGAAACAAAGAAAAAAGTGAAAGAAACAAAAAAGAAATGTATGAAACGAAGATAGAAATGAAAGAAACAAAGATAGAAATGAATGAAACGAAAGAAACAAAGAAAGAAATGAATGAAACAAAAAAGAAATGAAAGAAACAAAAAAGAAATGAAAGAAGCAAAGATAGAAATGGAAGAAACAATGAAAGAAACGAAAGAAACAAAGAAAGAAATGAATGAAACAAGGAAAGAAGTGAAAGAAACAAAAAAGAAATAAATGAAACGAAGATAGAGATGAAAGAAACAAAGAAATAAATGAAAAAACAAAGAACGAAATGAATGAAACAACGAAAGAAGGGAAAGAAACAAAGATAGAAATGAAAGAAACGAAACAAACAAAGAAAGAAATGAATGAAACAAAGAAAGAAGTGAAAGAAACAAAAAAGAAATGAAAGAAACAAAGATAGAAATGAAAGAAACAGTGAAAGAAATGAAAAAAGAAAGAAAGAAATGAATGAAACAACGAAAGAAGTGACAGAAACAAAGATAGAAATGAATGAAACGAAAATAGAAATGAAAGAAACAAAAAAGAAATGAAAGAAACAAAGATAGAAATGAAAGTAACAAAGATAGAAATGAAAGAAAGAAAGAAATGAATGAAACAAAGAAAGAAGTGAAAGAAACAATGATAGAAATGAATGAAACGAAGATAGAAATGAAAGAAACAATGAAAGAAACGAAAGAAAGAAAGAAAGAAATGAATGAAATAAAGAAAGAAGTGAAAGGAACAAAAAAGAAATGAATGAAACGAAGATAGAGATGAAAGAAACAAAGAAATAAATGAAAGAAACAAAGCAAGAAATGAATGAAACAACGAAAGAAGTGAAAGAAACAAAGATAGAAATGAATGAAACGAAGATAGAAATGAAAGAAACAATGAAAGAAACGAAAGAAAGAAAGAAAGAAATGAATGAAACAAAGAAAGAAGTGAAAGAAACAACGAAAGAAGGGAAAGAAACAAAGACAGAAATGAAAGAAACAGTGAAAGAAATGAAAGAAACAAAGAAAGAAATGAATGAAACAACGAAAGAAGTGACAGAAACAAAGATAGAAATGAATGAAACGAAGATAGAAATGAAAGAAACAATGAAAGAAACGAAAGGAAGAAAGAAAGAAATGAATGAAACAAAGAACGAAATGAATGAAACAACGAAAGAAGGGAAAGAAACAAAGATAGAAATGAAAGAAACAGTGAAAGAAATGAAAGAAACGAAAATGAACATCTTGAGAAAGAACGAGAAAATATTGTATGAAAACTGAGAATTTTATTGATTTGTTTTTTTACAGTTAACCTTTGTATGTTATTTAAAGCCAGAAAATGTTTTGTAAGAATTTTTCCTTTGGAATAATAATGGTTCAATGATACAAGTCTTACTAATTAACCTATATAGCGGGGGGGGGCTAGAACAGGTATATTCATACCTGTCCCAAGAGTTTTTAGCGCGTAAGTGAATATAACGAACCCAACTGCACATCCAAGCTTGGTATTCCCAAACGCTTACCCATCTAAATACTGATAAGACTCGACCTTGCTTAACCCCGGTAGTCGTACTCGATCCGGTGTTTCAACGTGATATGGCCGTAAGCAATAGAAAAAAAAATGATGAAAAAAGAACCAAACGTAAAAGAAAGAAAAAAAAGAATTGAGAATAAAATAATCGAAAAAGAAATAAGATGACAAATATTGAAAAAAGTTTGTTAATAAAAAAATTAAAAATAATAAAAAAAAAAGAAAAGAATTGGATCATATGGGATCTATGATGGGAGTGGAGTTCAGTTAGGTGGGTAGTCCCGGGAAAATCGAGCCAAAAAAATAATTGCAAATGTACATCGTATTGGAAATAAAAACCAATCATAGATAATTACGTCGGTGTTGTCATGGCAACAGAACAGCAAAACGCAACTTGCATTTGAAAACTTTGCGACTATCAGCAGATTACAATGATACGATATGTCAGCATGCAAAACCATCATGCTAGATAGTCTTCTAAGAAGAAGCAAATTTTATCTGAACTATATGAAAGTGAAAGTGAAAGTGAGTGGTAATAGGGTGTCGTTTTAATAGGAATCGAATGAAGGAATGAACGTCCGAAAATGTGGATGAAAGAAAGGAATAAAGAATTTTTCATTTAAAAACCGGAAAACGAAAATAGGACAGAAGAAAGAATAGAAGTGAAAAAGAAAAAGAGAAAGAAATAAGAAAAGAAAAAGAGAAAAAAACGTGTTAAAAGAAAGGAAGGAAGAAGGAAAAAGAATAATGTTTGAAAATGGAAGATAGAGAAGGAGGGAAAAGAAAGAAAAACAAAAAAATTAAGTTAGGAAAGACGATGAATGAGAAAATAATGATAGAGCGAGAGAAAAGAAAAGAATGCTGTAAAAGAAAGAAAGAAAGAAAGAAAGAAAGAAAGAAAGAAAGAAAGAAAAGGTCAATAATAGGAAAAGTGAAAAAAGAGACAGCATTCAGTAAAAATAACAAAGAAAACAGAATAGTGATGTAAAAAAGAGAAGAACAGAGTAAATACATTAAGAAAAGCGAAAAATGAGATGAATTAGCCTCTCATTCCTGGCTTTTTCTAAAGTACTTACTCTGTTAAAAGAGATAGAAAAAAGAAAATGTACAATATCAAAGAAAGAAAGAAAGAAAGAAAGAAAGAAAAAATGTACACTATCAAAGAAAGAAAGAAAGAAATGAAAAAGAAAACGCATGCTGTCAAAGGAAGGAAGGAAGGAAGGAAGGAAGGAAGGAAGGAAGGAAGGAAGGAAGGAAGGAAGGAAGGAAGAGAGGGAGGAAGGAAGGAAGGAAGGAGAAAAAAGAATAATGATGGGGAAAAGTGAAATAAAGAAACAAACAAACAAAGACATACAGAGAGAAAAAAAGAAATAAGGAATGGCAGGAAGAAAGAAATAATGTAAGAATAATGATGGCGAAAAACGAAAAAGAAAACGCATGCTATCAAAGAAAGAAAGAAAGAAAGAA